GGGGGGGGGCGGCTTGTTTTACAACGTCGTTGCCAAGCAACGAAAACCCAACCCCGATGGCAAACACCACCGGGGGGGGAATGGGGGGGGGGCGGCTTGTTCTATAACGTCGTTGCCAAGCGACGAAAACCCAACCCCGATGGTAAACACCGGGTGGGGGAGGGGGCGCCGCGAAAATGTTCACTCCGCTCCTACCAAAAAATTACGGTGACATGAGCTAGGTAGGAGGTGGGAGCATGGCAGCCGCAGCAGCAGTGGGACGATTCTTTGGACACGCTCCATCAGCCTCTACCCCTTGTTTCTTTTGCCTTGGGATGGGATATCGCACGATCATATTTATTGTTGGAACGTTTTTGATGTTGTGCCCGAGATTGAGCTGTGTTTCTTAGACCTTGTCTTCTCTGTAATGTTTGAGCCTTTTCTTCGTACCAGAGTTTTTCTTACCTGCGGGCCCCATCTGTACTTTATCGAGGGTGCCTTCTACACCCTTCGGAAATTTCGAATATCGGCGGTGTCCCTCCCTTCTTGTCCCCTTGCCTCCCCCCTCTGCTGAACAATCCTCGCATGCCGCAATGATTTGTCTTGAGACGTGGTAGGTTGCTTTCTTACAACATCTCTTTTTCACACGGTCACGTTCTAGCAGGTCGGAACTCCGGACCCGCATTTGATGGAGCTCTCGGACATGGTACGGTCGCGACTCAAGGCTCGAGCGTGATTCTGGCATCGAATGAATGTGTTGTTCGTTTGGCACCGGTTTTGAGGGGGGAATAGCCAAGAACGTTTCGTGTAATTTTTTTTCCTTGGCCGCACGGCGGTCGGTGTGTACAGCAGTGTTAGAGGACTTCAGTAGAAGGGCCGATTTTTTCATGAGGCGCCACTCTAGTGTACGGTGAAGTAGAGTGCTCGAGTGTAAGGAGAACGTCCCTAGATTCTCCTGTACAGAGGCCCCACCTTCAAAGAAATTTTTTGCTAGAAATTAGTTTTTGTGGCAACGGTGAGGGAGATGAAGAACAAATATGTTGCGCCCAGAAAGTGATATTATCCCATCCATACGTATGCATTTGCCGGCACTGGACAACAATCAGCGGTTACCTTGGCGTCCAAAGACGAACAAGAGCCTCGCGTTCTCCACTGTAAGGAAGCTCTGGTCAGAGTAAGTACGAGATCCAAAATGACATGCCTGCCGCCGTCGGACAAAGTCCGAGCACTCACATAGGGGTGCCCCCCCCATGCCAGGCCCGCGGGGGGTGCCAGGCGCGCGTCCCATGGTGGAGTGCATGGATCTCTTGGAGATGAGCGATGTTTCGGACATGGTGTCGGACATGTCGTCCGCGGCGTCCATCGCTGATCCGAAGAACGCCTCCCACCTGTTGGTTGCGTTTCGTGCAACCGGAAACGAGAAAAAAAGGAATGTAGAGCAGTGGTCAAAATAGGGTACACCCGGTCAAAACACGGCCAAAATCGGGCACCCCCACAAGACGCTGCTGGGAGCGACCGCATGACACCATCTGATTGGCCGACGCCCACCCCTACCCGACCTTTGCCGTCTTTCCATCGGGTGCACCCGATCTTGGCTTCTCACTCCCCGGAGGGGTACCCGGTTTTTGTCTCCCCTACCCAAAAATGGCTGGGCTGTTCGACCAAAACCTATGCACACAAGTACACATCAGCAACGCCCTGCCCTCGAATTCCGACGTTCTGACGGCCCGCCGGGCGGAGGCAGACTCATCCTCCGCCGGCGTTGGAAGTCTCCCTCGGGAGAAACGGCAGGCGGTCTGTCTGTGCAAATGATCGAGAAGGAGAGCTGGATGAATACCTCTCTCACGAGATGCGACACACACAGGACTAAAAAAAAATAGACATTCTCTCTCTCCCGCTACTTGCTCATTGGCGACAAACGAGGGCCAGTGGTGCGCGTCCGACCCGTGATTGTGTGCATGGGTTTTGGTCGAACAGCCCAGCCATTTTCGGGTAGGGGAAAGAAAAACCAGGTACTCCTCCGGGGGATGAGTAGCCAAGATCGGGTGCACCCGGTGGAAAGGCGGTCAAGGTCGGGTAGGGGCGGGCGTCGGCCAATCAGATGGTGGCATGCGGTCGCTCCCAGCAGCATGTTGTAGGGGCACCCGATTATTGCCGTGTTCTGACCGGGTGTAGTACCCGATTATGGCCACTGCTCTACATGTATTATTGCGCACAAGGTGCATGGCGATTTAGGTTTAGGGTCCCTCGTTGTACCACGTGGTGATCCAATTGACACGAGAAAAAGGCACCAGTACTCTACAGCAGAATGACTGCTCCCTAGCGGTGGTAACTGCTCTCTAGCAGTGGTACACAACTAACTACACTGCGTCCCAAAATTGGTGTATTTTTAGTCTAAGACCGCCGTGTGTATATACTCCCTCTGTCCGAGAATATAAGCAAGGTTTGGACAAAAAGCAATAGAACTCGTGTCTGCCGAACTCTTTTTCCGAACGGTTTTTTTTTCTGGTTCCGCCGCACTGGCGCGCAGCGCGCAGAACCGCTGCTCTTTTCACACCACCTCAACAAAGTGTGTTGCACCCCAGCACAACACGCCCGATTTCACCACCCCAACTTTGGAGCCCCGGTCAAACGCCTTCCCGTCTGCTGGCGGGACATGTCTGCTGCTGGGAGTGCCTCCCAGGGGCTCAAACGCAAGAATTTCAACGTTTCGGAGAGAGAAGAGGTGGTACGCTACCTTCTCGCCGACAGCGAAGACGGGGTTCGGCTGGGTATGCCAAAATTCCGCCTTTTCCCGGACCAGGGGATGGTAACGCACCATCCCCCCCCCATCGAGCGGATTTTTTTTTTTCTCTCTCCAATGTCATATGTGATCGTTTGCCAAAGTTGTCCGACGTCCACCGTGCCCAAATGGCACGTTTCCGTCAATATTCTTCAAACCTTGCTTATATTCCCGGATTTCCAAACCTTGCTTATATTCTCGGACAGAGGGAGTATTATAGAACAGGACGGACGACACACATCTATGTTGTTGTTCGTGCTACATTTCGTGCGCGAAAAAATTCCTTTTCTTTATACCAGCAGCCACCAGCAGCAGTGGTCTCTGGTTCATATATATATATATATCTCATCATGTACGTGTAGGGACACCCAGCCAGGTGTACCGCTGCATACCTTCACCTTTCACAGCCACCCCCATGCCCCACCAAATAAACTCGCTTCTTCATTCTGCGTCAAGAATAAGCTGCGCATGATGCACTTGCCACAGCCAGCCGTTGTCCTTCAAATGTCCATGTGTAGCCCTTATCTTGGCCAAAATACCGTTTCCTTCCGTTGCACAACAAGAACACGGACAATTTCGGGTCTGTCTGTACACATGTACATATCCACATGATCGCGGAAGGCGACGGGAGAAGAAAAGAGTTACAATGAGTAAGTCCGGAATCACGGAACGGGCATTCACAAAGACGCGCTCCAGGGACAAATTCTCGTATGTGGCCCCAGACCGGAGCTCTTCAGTTGAGAGGAAAGCAAGCGTCGCACTCGTGGGTTGGTAGGCAGGGCTGCTGTGCTGTTGTTGCGCGATGAAACAGCCAAACAAAACCGAATCCGAAGTTAGTTGTGGTTTGTGGGTTTGTGGACCTTTCGTTTTGGGTGGATTATTTTTTCGGGTGCACTTAGTTATTAAGTCCGCGGGATGAGAGGGGAGGATGTCACCCGTTTCTCAAAAAGACGAGAGCGGTCCTATCGGCCGTGTGCTTGCGGCTGGTGCTTATTATGGCGGGTGAATCGTCGCTTGGCCCACGACGGGTGAGCGATGACGTGATGACCCTGCTGCCGAATCTTAATCTTTCAAACACACACACGTATTTGAAATCAAACCGTCTCGTGTGATATTTTCAGGATATTATATGCATATACATTTGAAAAAAATGCGTCAAAGTCCCACATATTGCTACTCCTCTTCTCTCTTCTCTTCCGGTGCACATGCATGTCTTTCGCAAACATGAAGTAGTGTTGTGCACGGACGTCACTCTATCCAAACAACCAAACGCGAAGACAACCATTATCCATCCGTCTGCTCTAGGCGCGACACTTGCCCCTGAGCACTGCGCTTGCTTCGCGGGCGAGAGGTGATCCGAAATGGCAACGGCAAGAGGCTTCGCCGCTCCCTGCCAATCAATTCCGACAACCAGTCACATCATTCGAAGAGGGCAATAAATGGCGTAAGAGTTAAGGAGAAATAAATACACGCACAGAAAGACTACCCATTCGTGAGATATATAACCATCAACAGCACGACTTGGAAAATGTACAAGATGACGTATGCGTACTTACGGACAAACATTGACGGAATACACCACCACGCCTCGCGTCTGTGGGCAGGGATGGAAAAAGTAAAAAGGGATGGATCGTGGATCTTACATACTGCAGGCCGTCATACACCTCCCGCCGCCGTCAGAGTTACAAAGTGCAAGTGTGCCCTCACTCGCCTCCTCAACCCACTTCCCCCATCGCCGCCTCGCCGCACACTGGCTTGCCGCAAAATCAGCATGCCGAGCCCCGAAAGACCTCTGCTAGAGACCATAGCCAAGTTCCCCCTCTTCGACTGGATGCGACCGAAGCCACGGCGGGAAGTTGCTCCCGGCGATGGTCATCATTGCGGTTCAAGCGATTTCGGGAGCAGCAGCAGCAACAACAACGCGGCAGTCAGCACCTGTTCTCCGCGGAAACTAAGGACCCCTCGCCTCTCTGCAGAGGAGAGTACACTGTTGTCCCGGACAGCGCCGATCAGCACATGCACGTCCAACATCTCGGCCGTGTCCTGGTCGGAACAGACCACCGTGGTGGGCAGCAGTGATTCGTCAACGGGAGCGAGCGGGATGGCCGCCTTCCCTCGCCTGGGGCACAAGTCATCACCAGAGCTAAAGCTCGATATCGTTGCAGGGGATGCCCCCGCCGCCGTCCTGGAGACCCGACTCACGGTAGCTCCAGCGCCCACCCCTGCACCGCCGATGGACATCCCTTGGCGACTGCTTGACCCGGACTCGGCTACTACCCCCATGCAAGAGGTATGTACATGTTTCGTGTGCTTTCGTGTGCTGCTGCTGTGGATGGTGGTTGTTGCACGTGCTCTCTGTCCCACGCAATCATTCCTTCATTATTCGCCCGGATCGGTGTCTGCTGCCGGAAGATTGTTTACAACATGAGGAATTTTGAAGAAATCGGGTGCGAGCGTTTTCTACCCCCTTTCCCCCCATCTTTTGCTCCCTTTGCCATGCAAGTAGGGCCGTGCCCATTGCCGGCACACCGTCCCTCACGACCCGAAGGCAAGCGTTTCGTGTTCTCCATGCCGTGGTCATCCTTCGATTATTTGTATCCAACGGTTGCGGGGCACGTGCTCCATTCATGCCACAAAAATAGAGCGAGCATAAATGTGTATTTGTTTGCATGTTTTGTTCCCCCACCACATCTTGCTGCATCTTCCAAAAAACGGGGGTGTAACCTGCTGCCGTGTGTCACGGCGTGAAGGCGCAGGATAAACTTGCCCAAGCTTGCACAACGCAATCGAACCATCGCGGGATGAAAGGCTTGCCTATTCCCTAGCTTCGGGTGTGAACCAGTGAACCCTTCGACCTTGGGAATATGTGCAACGCGCGTTCCATGTCTGTTTTTCAAGTTGCTGTGGCATTCGGCACACGCAGGGTTCCTTTCTTTCCCACCCCCCAAAGAGCAAGAGAGAGAAACGTGTTCCGCGACCATATCCACAACTCCACGAAAGAAAGCAGTTGGCTCTTCGGCTCATCCCTTTTCGCAACATCCAAGCACCTGTTTCGCAGTCAACATCGGTATCGAGGCTTGATGTGCACGTGGCCAACCTCGACCCCCATGTAGCACGGCCCCCATCCCGACCTTGAGCCGCTCTGCTTTCGATGTACGGACAATCGGCTTTCTGGACACACACACACGGTCGATGCTAACAATATAAAACACACACATCATGCTTGCGCAGTTTTTTGGTAGTTGGCCAAATGTTTTGTTCTCGTTCGTCATCCACCCGGAGCCGGGGTGTCCCCAATATCGTCGTCCTCCAACCATCCGTATTCATCACGACCACAACATGCGTTGTTGATTCAACTCAGCAGAGGACACCCATTTTTCATGCGTTCCTACCGATAGCTCATCCCCTTCAGCACGCGTTCAATCAATTCCTCTGTGTACAGGAAAGTACACGGCGTCTTGTTCGCGGGGTCACAATTATTTTTTTACCACCGCCCGCCCGTGAAAAAGTGTGTGTATCAGTGTGGAATGTATCCTGCTTCTCTTTCACAGTTATTCGTGTCTTTTGGTTGATGCATGCATGAAGCCTGACATGCGTGCACCGGACACGTGCTGCTTGGGCATCAATTGCTCATTGTTTGGCGCTGGCACGTCATGCGGTTGAGGCCTTTAGTCGACGCAGTTGCACCTTGGTGCACGCACTCAGACCACGGCCTTGCTTGAACAGAAACTAGCTGGAGGCCATCAGAACATCAGAACGTCACAACGCCTTTTCTCGAAAATGGTCGGGCAGATTGCATTTTTTTTTTTCGGCCGATTCTGGCCTGACGACTCAAAATCTGTGAATCGGCCGGAGAGCCTTGGGCTGATCCATGATGCACACGATCTGGGATCTCCGTTTCGATGGTGTGGTCCCAACGTTGTACAAGCAGAGCAATCACGCCCGACGGTTTTTCATCTCTCTTGTCATGACGCGAAGTTGGGCTATTCAGAAAGATCTGCTGTTCCATCCACTTCATAAATAAGTTGTTCAAATATACTCGTCGAATTAATGGATGTAGCGATCACCTTATGGATCTACCTTTGAGGCCCGCGTTAGGTGTGCTATGCATACCACCCCAGTGAAGTGGGCAAGATGAGATGGTATCCGCCTTGCAGCAGCAGCAGCATGTAGCATGTTTGACCCTTTCCGGAGGGAACAAGACCAGAACGTCGGTGATGCATTCGACGTACATGACATTCAACCTTTCTCATCCCCTCGACTGCTTTCCACGAGAGAACCCCAACGCATGCGTACGCAAATGACAACGCATATGTGGACCACTTGTGTGGCGTAGAGGAAAACGTCACGCAGCATGCGTTCCTTTTATCGCTGCCTCGGTGCACCCCTCCTCCGACTTCGGAGTGGGATGGTTGATGGGTAAACGCGGCCACGCTTTCTGCGGCACCTGATGATCGGGCAGAGAAGCGTTGTTGTGGTGGCAGCCTCCCGGCAAGCAAATACTCTGAAATTATACCTTATCTAGGGACCCTCAGCACGACCACGACACAGCAGCATTTTTTTTGCGCGAAGACGATGCCTTTCTGGAGGCGGCAGCAAGTGATATTTGCTGTACGGCGGAGATCCTAGATGCGAAAGAGCATTCCCCTGGAGATGAACATTCGCCGAATCACACCCACCCACACGTCCATGAAAAGAACACACGGCTCTGCAGGGCGGTCGCGATGCAATTCAAAGCCACTCATACACGCACGTTGTGTTTTCCACCGCACTGGGACTGGCATATTTTCATATTTTCAGTGTCCAGCCGGTTAGCGCGGTCGCTGCTACATGAATGATACACGCACAGATTCTGATAATGAAGACACGTACTGCTATTTCTATTGACTTGCGGACCCCTCGGAGCCATTGTATTTGAGTGTACCTTTTTAGGGAATCTAACCTTGTTTCTCACACTGGCTCTAGTCCACAAAATATGGGGAGCCCGTGGTCTCAAAACCCGGCACATGAGACGCCGCGGGGAAACAAAACAAAAATAGGGTACAAACCAATCGGACAAGTCTATCACACGTCTCACCACGAAAAATGGGGGGACTGTCGCCATAATAAATAGGACTAAAACACACGCACAACCATCGTCTTGGAGAAGCAGGAACACGTGTTGGACACAGGGGAAGGGTTCGTGCGAAAGGCTGTGTGCCGCTTGGTCCCCTATGCAGCTTGGAAGGCACACAGGGATCGACCGAAAAATAAGTGAATAAAATTACAGAAAACAGCCGAACAAGTGCAGCATCCCCAACAACACTCCTTCATGATTGGCCGCTCGCTGCATGGATTCCTCAGCCGAAGGCACTTATGCTTAGGTCTGCATTGCTGAGATTATACGGGTAGTTGTTGTGATCAGGCTATTTATTACACTTTTGAGTCGTCGTATGCGTATGTAACGCGTTCGCAGACAGCAGTTGACCCGTGAAGCGGAAATAGATAAAATCATATGAAAAGGCAATACGAAAGCCATTCAGTGGATGGCGCGAGCCAATACCGTCGTCGCCCTCAATCCGCAGTTGCTGGCGCGGTGGGATGAGCCGGGAATGCCGTCGTATGTTATAGGGTGTCCCAGCAGACAACTACCGTTATCCAAGTGACCTTTGTTGTGCTCTGTCGCCTCGTGATGCGGCCGAGTTTTGAGGCGTTGTGAAGAAGTTCATCGAAGGGAAAAGGTGTTTCTTGCGTGCGAAAGCACAACCGTCTTGAGAATTTTGATGGGTTTTGATTCACGGTGACAACCACGTACTTCGAAGCAGAATTCTTTCGTGTTGGAATGGGGTTCATATGTTGCGGTCCGAAGTAGGCCTGGAGTTCTCAAGGTTCTCGAATGATGTGTCATGGCTTCTGCATTGAACGAGACAAAAATATCATAGCCTGGTTTGGTGTGTTGTTGTTTGTGTAATGGTTTTGGAGTAAGACAAAGTGGCATCGTAACTCGCTTCGCTCGCAGACACACTTCACGGGGTTCCGGATGCGGTGCAGTGTGCGGTTACAGTGCCGTGTGACTCGCTTCGCTCGAAGGCAATTGGCGAGGTTTCGGGCGCGGTGCAGTGTGCGGTCACAGTGTTGTGTGACTCGCTTCGCTCGAAGGCACTTAACGGGGTTCCGAGCGTCGTGCAGTGTGCGTCACAGGAGTGCCGTGTTGCTCGCATGTACTCAAAGGAAGTTTGTCCGCAGCAGCGTCATGTTCCCCCTTTCGAGGAGTTCCTTATTATGTGCTTCGTCACACACCGGTGTGCCTCTCCTCTCCTTCTATTGCACAAGGTGAATAATTGTTCGACCGTTCAGCAAGTGCATACTCCCCCTCGACACGTGTTGCCCCACCTAAACCGT